CAGCGTCGTCCCAGCAGCAACCCTTGGTTGTCCCTTGGAATGCCCACCCCAAAGTAACCCCGGATCTCTCTACCAGGCCTCACACTCCTGCATCAACAGGTTATAGGGCAACACCCCAGCACTGGCCAGCGTCGTTCTGGCATTGAACAGCCGCAGATCACTAAGTATATCAGCAATGGAGCCGTCTAAGATGAGTTGCTAGGAATCCCCAGAATTCTAAATCATTCTTAAGACCCCCCTTGACAACCATGAACATCCAACCAAACCTTGGATCATCTTTTTGGTAGTTTCGTGAGAGCTAAACTAAGAACATACATGAAACAGTCTGATCAGCCTAGAAAACAGGAAGACAGGAGAACGAAATCCACCCACTTCAGTCCTCGTACCAGAACTCGCTAGATCGCATACCCCCCTTGCTAGGGTGACAGGACAACACCAACTGCCCCAGTACTGACCGAACTAGTTTTGACGGACAAGAAGTGTCTTCCTCCCTCGACAACTTCCTTAGCTGCACAACCCCCAAAGTTACAGGGTCACTGCCCCCCCATCAGCTACGTTGAACAAGATGGTTATGCCTTCCACCCTCGGCATAGCTCCAATAGTCTCAAGCTCCCCCTGGCTACAGAGCAACTGCTCCAAGATTGTTTTTGTCAAATTTCTGGCAGAGGTTAACAACATCTGCGACACATATCATTATTTTATTATTATTACTATCACACATCTGCCATGCATACTCTTCCCCCTGCCATTTTGCCAACCAGAGGTTCGCCCATCCCTTATTGATTGTCCTATCTCCTCCCCCTATCCCCCACCCAAACGAGAAAACTTCCTCTCACTCCATGTCATCGTGCCCCCCACCCAGTGACAGCCACATAATAAAACAGTCAGAACCGGCAACAGGGAGGGGGCAGGGGGAAACCCTAGGTCAAAAAGAGACGCCGACAGGTGATATTTACACAGGAGTGAAACAATCAACACAACGGTCAAATTCATCGAATCCAACCCCCTCCGTGGTCAACTGCCTAAGCCACCCCCATGATTGTACGACGTTTTAGCTCATTAGTATTACCCTCTGGGGGGAATGGCATACCCCTGAGAAATCAGAAAAAACCCTGTCATCGCCATAACTCAATAAATCATCACACATGATATCATTGCCCGCATCAGCCTGCCGGGTAGATGATGAATCAATTGTAAAAAAAACTTTCAGAGCAGGCGGGGGAACCGCATCACCTACCTCCGCCAAAGTACCGTTGTCAAACAAATGATGACGATGCCTTTTGACCTTCCACGGGTTGTTGGTAAGACTGCGAAATCAATGTCAACAAAAGTTCCGGAGCAAGCGTTCGACGCCGCTCCCACATCCGTCAAGTCTCCATTATTCACTACAACAGCCTGAGACTGATAGCCAAACGATACTGACACCATGAGATGGTCACCCAATTCATCACTCGCCTGAGCATATGACCATTGTTGTTGGATACAAAGTGGAGTAATTGGTGATGTCACTGTTGTAGATGTCGTAATTGTCGATATTGCTCTTGTTGCTGCCGTTGATGTTGTTGATGTTGTTGATGTTGTTGATGCTGTCCATGTCACGCTATCCTGGCCTTCAGATGAGAGCAACTCACCTGGTGGACTACCCACATCTCTCCTTGCTAGAAGCTCGACAAACATGTCTTTCACCTGCACTAGCATCCCAACACACTCATGTAGGGCAGTCATCGCCTGTGCTTTGTCAATCATATCCGACTGTCGAGGAAAGATCCACTCATACAGTTCCTCCTCCCACCGATCGTAAATCTCCTCTCCCTCCAACAAGATGTCATCTTGTAGGTTGCCATATTCTTGACTCAGCAACGCGTGCATCTCCTCTAGTTGCTGTTTATACAAGGTCACAATGAACAGTGCAAAATAGGCCTGCACAGGCTGCAGGGCAGGAGGGGGTTCCCACAGCCCCCCATTAGGCATGGTCTCCATGTCCATCTCTGTCGTCGTTATTGATGCCAGAAGCTAACACCGCTGCGTCGCAATCACGTTTTTTCAACAAATTCCCAGTTGGCGCTGCCCCTGTCCGCACGTCGCGGGACACCCACGTCACCAACAGCAGCTGCCACGTGGCAATCAAGACGCCACGCGCGTCTGGCGGATGCGCGCACAGGCCTAACGACCGAGGGGTTCCCTCCCCCAGGCACTAGTCTAGCCGGCAGACCGGGCCTTGCCAGTAGGGCGGCGTCGGGACGCTAGCGCTAGCGCAACTCTCGTTTTTTCATTATCTCTTGGATCTCGCCAGACAACAAATATTAAACCCGACAGGGTGGGCACCTTCTCTCGATTGAGGTGCACGATAAGGTAAGTACGACATCCGGCGTGTTGATCAAACTACACAAAATCAATCACTAATGGAGGAGCAAGGGTGTTTGGAGCGATGGATGGACGGATTGGTGGTGGACGGACACTACCTATTCTCGACCGACGACACTTGTTCTCCCTGCGACTTTTCCGCTTCCGCCCCCTGATTTGTTGCACGGTTTGCAACGTCGCTGGTTGCTTAAATCCTTTATGGCACTCGTTGGCGGGTCCGACGAGGTTGCGCCATAACATCCTCTGTTGGTTTTTTTAGACAGGGGGTGCACGTTTAAGTACCTTCGTGCTTTGGCGAAGATGACGTGGCTAATGTTTGGCTAGCACCATGGCCAGCAAGGGAGGGGAGGGTGGCTCCTCTCTCACGAAGGTGGTGGGAAGCGAGTTTGGGCGGAGGGGGAAGAGTTGCGTTATGTAGTGATCAGGGTTAAGTGTTTGAAGCCGATGGCGGCGGCAGCGGTCTTTCTGAAGAACATACACAAGCGATGGAGGTGAAAATCTTAAAGAGCCTTTTAATTATGTTGTTAATCCTACAATAGGAATTAATTCCTATCGTTGTTTAAGGGTGCCCTATTACATTCTATGTGTTGATTTATTGTTTCTTAACTTCGTTTTCAGGCTGCCTGATGTGATGGATGACTTAATTTCATTTTTCTAGTAAGCTGATGTGGAGTACAACCTTAAAATTATTGCTTATTTTCATCATCCAATTTTTCGTATTTACATATCACAAACAAATTCGAGTTTCATTCCTAATTACATATATTAAATAAATCATAATTTTTTGAAAATTCGAAAGTCTTACAAACTTCGTTCCAAAATTCTCAGGTTCTAGTGGAGGTTCGAGAATTTACTTTGTAAATCATTTTTGGACAACTAAACCTAAAATTCATAATTTTGTTTTTTCCTTAATTGTATATATCTAGTCTTTACTTTGCAATTGAATTTCTATGGTTTTTGTGTCGAGATATGTTGATTTTTAAAATTTGACCTTTTTTTTTTGTTAGAGTTTCATCAGAATTTTGAACAGGGGCCCATGGGGTGGTCGAGTGGAGCATCTTGTAGGGTCTTGGGGGAATTGTTTTGAAGTAGGGGGAAAAAGGCATCAAACGATTCTTCGCAAGGAGAGGGGACGAAATAGGCTCTTTAACGGGTACCGGCTAGGGGCAGCTCTTATCAGATGCGATTGGCGTTGGGTAGTTTAGGTTGCCCAATGGGTACCGGCTAATGAGGGTGATCTTTGGCGTGATTGGCGTTGGGTAGTGCTGTTTCACCCCTTTGAAGACGGAGACTGAAATTATTTTGGGGGCAAGGAATTTCAGGGTGATGATGGCGCCCGCCCCCTGCTGAGAGGAGGTTCTCTGGACTCTTTACGAGTATGGAGTTGGGGATGACGAAAGAGGTTTTTCCTTTTGATGACGGAGGCAGAATTGTTCTCGTTGTCTGTTTCTGAGGTTGCTTGTTTTCCTAAACTTGTCTTAATCTTTCGTCAAGAGTTTCGTCGGAGTTTTAACAAGGGCCCCGAGGGATAGTCAAGTGAAACATCTTGTAGGGTTTGGGGGGGTCTGTTTTGAAGTAGGGAGCGGAAGCATGGAATGATTCTTTGCAAGGACGGAGAGGGGATGGAATAGGGTTGCTTGAATGATTCTTTGCAAGGACGGAGACAGGATGGAATAGGGTTGCTTGACGGGTACCGACTAGGGGGAGTTCTTATCAAATGCGATTGGCGTTAGGTAGTTTAGGTTGTCCGATAGGTACCGGCTGATGAGGGCGAGCTCTGGCGTGGTTGGCGTTGGGTAGCGCCAGTTCACCCTTTTGAGGACGGAGACTGGAGTTCATATGGGGGTAAGGAACTTCAGGTGATGATGGTGCTCACCCATGCTAAGAAGCGGTCCTCTGAAATTCTTTACGAGGACGGAGTTGGGAAGGATGGAGAAGACTGGGATGGAGGGAGTTGGGGTGGATGCGATTGGCGCCAAGTATTTTGGCGGGTACCGGCCACTTGCTACTAACTCCACCTGGAGCAACTTGAGGTTTTTCCTTTCAATGATGGAAGCAAGATCTTTTGAGTTGATTGTTCCAGGGGTTGCATGTTTTCCATATTTTCCAAATTTTAACATATCATCAAAGGGTGTCCCTGCTCAGTTAATCCCTTGGTTTCCGAGGTAATTAATGCTGGCAGGGGGAGGTCTTCTTAATTAAAAAAAAAAAAAAGAGGTGAGCGGAATAAGTAGATGATTGGATATCAAGCGTCCTATTAGTGAGGGGGCTAGCTCGTAGGATGGAATTAGGGTACAACAGCAGCGGAGATGGTGGCTCTGCTGCAATAAGTCTTGCCGAAGTGAGGTAAAGAGGATTGATGGGGGGTTCTGAGTCGTTTTCTGAATTGTGGCTTTTTCTGAAGATTGTCGTAGTAATTTCCTAAGTAGCTCAAATTGTCTTAGCCACAACCGGGTAATTGTCCTGGTATCTTGAACTTTCAAAAATTATATGTAAATTTCTATATGGGACTTTGGGCCCGGTTCCCAGCATGTGCTGCTCCCCACGAATAGATTGGAGCCTTGTTCCCATTAAAAAAAAGAAAAAAAAAGAAAAAAGAAAAAAAAAGAGGTGTACAGCCAATCTGTATATGTTGTTGAGAGCAGAGGCATTGATTACTTCCCCTACGCGGGGGAGGGATTGACCTTCTGCTCATGAATCCCTATTCAAATGATATGAATAGCTATCATATAGCACATATCCTCACCAGGAAAGATATACGTGATCACCAATAGTCGTTTCATGCTTAGGAGTTGTGGGATAGAGAAATGAACAGCGATCAACCCTAATCACCCTACTCAGCGCAGGGAGATCATCTATCCTGTCCCCATCCGATGCCAGAAAATGAGACCCGAATCCGCCTGAAAAATCACCTGAAAAAACACCAGGTAGGGGTGGGGGGAAACAGGAAAGCCCCAGCTTGCTGCTAATTCCCCCCCACTGCATGGCTGGCAGCATCTCCCCCATGCTGCTGATACAGGGCTTGGATGCACAACAACCCCTCTCTGCCCTGCTGCTCCCGTGGTTATCGTCCCCGCCATCCTCATGTTTGTTGTCGATCTTGTTGCAGTTATTGTTGTAGTCGTTGTTGTTGTTTGCGCCATCGTTGTTGTTGTTGTTGTTCTCTCCCATCTCCTCGTTGTTGTTGCTGTTGTCGTTATTGTTGTTGTTATTGTTGTTGTTGTTATTGTCATCCTTCTCGCCCTCGTCGCCAATCTCGACCAATCCCAGCTCACCATCGTTGTTGTTGTTGTTGTTGTTGTTGTCCGCCTTCCAACCCTTCTCTCCGATCTCATCGATTCCTTGCCTCTCCTCCACCGCGAGCACCACCTCTTCCATGAACCCCTGCGCCACCTCCCACTCACCCGTGTGCTCTCCATTACACTGCCCCAGATGAGTGACACCGTCGACGTCAACATTCCCGGCGCGGACCTGAGGAGAGAGCGCCATCAAGTTCTCCCACCAATCGCTAGCCCTCCCCTCATGTTCCTCACTCTTCTCTCCGTTGTCGCCAGTTTCACCCAATCCCGACAATCCCATCTCATCGTTGTTGTTGTTGTTGTCGTTGTTGTTGTTGTTGTTGTTGTTGTTGTTGTTGTTGTTGTTGTTGTCCACCTTCCAACCCTTCTCTTCGATCTCGCCCATTCTTTGCCTCTCCTCCACCACAACTGCCACCTCTTCCATGAGCCCCTGCGCCCCCACCCACTCACCTGTTCGATCTCCATTGCGCTGCCGCAGACGAGTGACACCGTCGACGTCAGTATTGCTGGCGCCGACCCGAGGAGAGAGCGCCATCAAGTTCTCCCACCAATCGCTAGCCCTCCCCTCATCTTCCTCGCCCTTCTCACCCTCTTCGCCAGTTTCACCCAATCCCGGCAATCCCATCTCAGCGCCGTCGTCGTCGTTGTTGTTGTCGTTGTTGTTGTTGTCAGCCCTACACCCCTGTTCCACCTCCAGTATTGTTGATGTTGATATTGTAGTTGTTACTATTGCTGTGTTCGCTCTTGCTTATGCCGTTGCCGCCGCCGCTGCTGTTGCTGCCGTTTCCACCGATGGCAATAGCCCCCACTCCCCTTCCCACTCACCTGCGTTACCATCGCCAACTACCCCCTCATCATCAACCTCCCACTCACCTGCGATGACATAATCCCTCTCTCCATCACCTGCGGCACCCTCATCCTCTACCGGATAGGAGAGTGCCATCAAGCTAACCCACCTCTCTCCTGGCCCCTCTCATGCTCATCACTCTTACACACAGCAACATCACAGCTCGTCTCACTGTCGAAATCCCAGCTCTCACACACAGCGCAGAGGTTTGTAAGGTAGCGGGACATGTCAAGATCATCATCCTGCTCACCTTCAATATCCTCTGCAAGCAAGAGGCCGTCTTCATTATGGAGGAGCATATCCTCTAGTGGAACTGCTCCCCGTTGTAGCTCCCCCTCCATCTCCACCCCACACCCAGATTGTTGCGCCATCTATTGCTATTCGTCGTCGTACGTCACCGCTGGCGCTCAAGTTGCTTCTTTTTTTTTTTTTTTTTTTTTTTTTTTGCAGAATAGCCCCTGCTCAAGCCTTCCAACCCAGCGGTGGTGAGAAAACCGCCGGGCTGGAGGGCAAGTTCCTTCTATTCTTGGGGCGCAACCAATCCAATTGCTTATCACCGGCAAGCATGAGGCTTTAAATGAATTAATTAATTAATTAAAAAAA